TAATAATAATAATATAATAAGCAGCAACAAGAAAGGCTCCTGACAGCCAGGATCTCCTAGTCACTTAAGCAAACAGCAAGAGTGTCCCAACAGAATCAGGTGTTAGCCTGTCAAAGAAGAAACAGGGTAAATCAGTTAGCAGGCAAGAGGATTGAAGTAAACAGGAAGTGGGTCGTCAGACAGGTGACAGTGCTGTGATGCCAGGACTCTAAGGGCTGAGTGTCAGTAAGTGTGTTGTCAAGTGAGAGAAGTGTATGTAATCTTCAGGGGCTTTAAAAAATTACTCTAAAAATAGTTACCTTGTTATTTTAAAAAGTTTCAGTCGATAGGCAAATAATACACTTTTTCTCTGTAGATACCAGTTAAATGTTTTCTATAGTCTCAGTAAATTTATTTGAAAGCTTTTAAAGAATGCTGTATAATAATCTTTCTGTATGGAAGTCATCCCATTCCTTATTGCTAGGAATGATTACAAAATTTAAATAGTTTTAGATTTTTGTCTTTTAAAGCTAGTCTCAGAGTATTTAAAATAGACTCTTAGAACCAATGAAAGGAAAAAAATAAATATGCTATAATTTCAGTTTCAGATCGTCGTGGCTCAGGTAAACCCAGACCAAAGAGTGAAGGCTTTGAGCTCTATAATAATTCAGCTCAAAATGGGTCCCCAGAGAGTCCTCAACTGCCTTGGGCAGAGTACAGTGAGCCAAAGAAACTGCCTGGTGACGACAGGTTGATGAAAAATAGAGCCGACCACCGTTCCAGCCCCAATGTGGCAAGTAAGTGAAGTCTCTTTCTCATCCTAAGTGTGTGTGGTCACAGTCAGGAGTGAGGGAGATACTGTGCTTTGTTAATTCTTACATGATAGTGCTACCTGTATCTGTTGGCTAATGAGAGTGGAGTTTTCATAGAGGCATTGTAATGCTCTAACAGAAATAAAACTGGAAAACTTTTGACTTTGTGGACACTGTAAACAGAAATACACATTAATGTCTCTAGCAAAGGTTGTCAGATTACCAACAGAAACAAGTCATTTTTAGACTTTTATTCCTAACAACAAAGTGAGGATGGAAAGATATCTAACAGAGACCCGAGACTCAGAGACCCCCAAGTATTTACTCTGTGTCTCTTTACCAAAGGTCTCAGGCAGATCCTAGTCTTAGAAGAATTACTGTTCTGGGCTTTGGTGGCAGGAGACTTGTGAGGATGCAGGAAGCCGGCTTCTCATGCCCTGTCTTGGGCTCCGTGTCAAATGCTAGTGATAACTGCCTTGAAGGAAATGTGTTTATTGTTAACTTTTTTTTAATATGAAACTTTTTTTTTCCTGACAGATCAGCCGCCTAGCCCTGGAGGGAAGAACACATATGGCTCTGGAACAGCAGCTAAGATAACATCTGTTTCCACTGGGAATCTCTGCACTGAGGTCTGACAGATGAGCTGAAAGGCGTCATCTTTGTAGTGCCTGTGGCTCTCTTAGAGTGTATCTGAGTTGTGGGATATGATTCTCAACAAATTACATTAGCTATAACTCCTGAATTTATAGCATTTAAGTTTTTGGTTTTTAAAATACTTGTCAAGTAAATTAGTTTTAAATGAATAAATCTGGGCTAAATGTTTACTATTAGTCACAGTACAGGATCAGACTGAATTTTTTAGCACAGTATTTAATGGTCATGCTGGGTTTGTTGTTTGCATTCTAAAATGAATCACAAGATATTAAGTTAGCCTGTTGTAAACAGCTCACTCTCTTTTTCTTCACATTCTACAGGAGCAGAGCCCTCCGCCTAGACCTGAAGCCTATCCCATCCCTACTCAGACCTACACCAGAGAGTATTTTACCTTTCCAGCTTCTAAATCCCAGGACCGGATGGCTCCTCCTCAGAACCAGTGGCCAGATTATGAGGAAAAGACACATAAGCACACAGATAGTAATCATTCCAGTATTGCAATCCAGGTTAGAAATAAGGGTAGCAAACTTCTCTGATCTCTCCAAGGACCAGTTAGAGAGAGAGAGAGAGAGAGAGAGAGAGAGAGACCAGTTTTTCAAAAGACAATGATGTCTCTTTCTCTTTCAAAATATTTATTTTTATTCTGTTTGTGTAAGTGTTATCTGGGGCCCAAACCTCAGGTATTCAGGCTTTGAAGGCAGTCTGCTTTACCTGCTAACCCATCTTGATAGCCCATGACTGAGTGATTTCTGAGACATAGTTGATACTTCCTGTACAACAGCAAGCTTGTCCTCTTCATTTTTTTTCTCTCATGATTTTTGAAGTTAAGTCTGAGGAGAGGAGGGGTAGGATAGACTGCAGACCACAGTAAGCAGAGGGATTCTGTGTTCTCTTTATGTTTGGCTAGTGAAGTGTTGGCAGTGTGTGGCGTAAGCATAGCATTGAAGGCAAGGCTCACTGATTCTAGAAGTGACAGCGACAGAGCTTGCACTTGGTTTCTGTCCTTGCCAGTGCAGTTTGAGGTAGAGCCGATAAGTGAGACAGACAGAAAATATATAATGTGCTTGGGGCTGCTGAAGACATGGGTCCACTGATTGACCGGCCATCAGGGTCTCCGTGTGACTAGAACCGGGATTGTTCCCTCTAGTCCATTATAGCTGAAGAGCCTTTCTGGCTGAAGGAGAAGGCTCCACCAGGGAGCAGGAGTGGGGATGAGGCAGGATTGGAGTCTGAAGGCGAGTGGAGCTCATTAGACTTTGGCCAAATCAGTAAAGATGGAGATGTCAGTCTGGGTGGTTTAGCTGGGAAGTGTTATCAAATGTGATGGGGAGAAGGAACCAGCTCTATGCTTTAAAGATAGGTGAAGCCTTGGAGAAAGGACAAGGATGTGCCCTGGAAAGTGAATGATGTGACTCCTGAGGGCAGTCGTTCCTCCTTAGAGCAGTCACAAAAGACTTAATTGGAGCTGACAAGGTTGAGCTGAGCCTTGAAGACAGTCAGAGAGAGAGGGAAAAGGGCTGTACTCGGCAGAGACTGTGGGGCAAAGTGAGGGGGAACTCACTTTGGCAAAAAAAAAAAGTCCTCTGACCTGCCCTGCTCCTGTCCTCCCTTTTCCTAGGTGAACCTCATGACTTGTAGCACTGGGTTCTGTGAATATTAGATGTCCTTCTCCCTTGTCTGCTCTTTCAGCAAGCCAGGAAGGTACCAGACAGCAGCTGCAGGGTCAAGTCTCGTGGCAGGGCAAGGTCTCTGTTCTGTAGGTAGCATATGAGTTAATGATACTTCTGTGTTCCAGCTCTGTACCACAGGGACACGTAACCTGTGTTTCTCTCTGTTTGCAAAGTAAAGCTGTGCCTAACTGGGAATTAATTTAGCAGTTTTCTTTTAGACTATTGCTTTAAAAAATATATATTTATTTACTTATTTATTTTGGTGGGGGTGGGGAGTGAGACAGGGTCTCCCTCTAGCCCCAGCTGGCCTGGAACTCTCTATGTAGACCAGGCTGGCCTCGATCTCACAGAGATCCACCTGCCTCTGCCCTCCTGAGTGCTTGGATTAAAGGCATATACCACCCAATTCATCATTTTTTTTAAAGGAAAAGGGAAGAGTTTATTTTCCAAATTTATGTCTTCAATTTCTGTTCATTATTAAGGAAGGAGAACAATGTGTGATTCACATAGCATAGAGATCATTCTTACCAAGAAAAGTTGCCGGTATACCTGCCAGTTTGCAAGCTTCATAGTAGCCCCGTGAAAAAAAATTGTTTTAATCTCTTTCCTCAAAACCTTCATGTCCATCAAAATGATACTATTGCATTTCTTACATTCATAAAATTGGAGCTGAAACATGATAAATGGCACGTGTCCTTGCACTCGCGGCTCATCAAAGAGTTTGTGACACTAGTCCTGAGATTTAGGGCTCGTTTAGAATGAAGCCATGGACCTATCCAGTGAGTGCTGTGTAATAACTGAATCACTTGACAGAACTCTGTTGCTCTTTGTGGAGTCAGCCTACAGCATCCATCTGTGGCCACCCCTGGAGCCTTTGCAGACACCCTCACCTGCTGGCACAGGAGCCAGGGCGAGAGATGGCGTGTGCCTTTGGCACAGAGAGGAAGTCTTTTTGCAGACAAATTGGCAGCTGTTTCATGTGCTCAGTGAGCTACAGAGCAATCTCGGCCTCTAGTCCAGCACTCACTCCACAGTGTTTCTAATCTGTCTCCTCTGAAGATGAGCTGTTTTGTGACATTCTGGTCGTTTCTCTGGTGAATCCCTGAAGTGTAACAGCTCCCCCTTTTCTTTTCACAGCGTGTTACCCGTTCCCAGGAAGAGCTCCGGGAAGAGGCGGCTTACCAACTTGAGCGGCATCGCATAGAGGCCGGCCTGGATCCTAAGTGTGACAGCGACATGTGGATCAACCAGAGCTCCTCGGTGGAGTCCAGCACATCCAGCCAGGAGCACCTGAACCATTCCTCCAAGTCGGTCACCCCTGCGTCCACGCTGACCAAAAGTGGACCCGGCCGTTGGAAAACCCCAGCGGCTGTGCTGCCTGCTCCGGTCGCGGTCCCTCAGCCGGTTAGAACAGACCTACCTCTACCACCCCCTCCACCTCCAGTCCACTGCACCAGTGATTTTGATGGCATTCCGATGGATTTGCCCCTCCCACCACCTTCTGCCAACCAGATGGGACCCCAGTCAGCTCAGGTGGCTGCCGCAGAGCTGAAGAAGAGAGAGGAGCATCAGCGGTGGTACGAGAAAGAGAAGGCCCGGCTGGAGGAGGAACGCGAGCGGAAGCGCAGGGAGCAGGAGCGGAAGTTAGGCCAGATGCGCTCACAGTCCCTGAACCCTGCTCCCTTCTCTCCTATGGCCACGGCGCAGGCAAAGCCAGAAAAGCCTTCCACGCTGCAAAGGCCCCAGGAAACTGTCATTAGGGAGCTGCAGCCCCAGCAGCAGCCCCGCACGATTGAGCGCAGAGACCTGCAGTACATCACCGTCAGCAAAGAAGAGCTGTCCTCCGGGGACAGCCTGTCACCAGACCCCTGGAAGCGAGATGCCAGGGAGAAGCTGGAGAAGCAGCAGCAGATGCACATCGTGGACATGCTGAGCAAGGAGATCCATGAGCTACAGAGCAAGGCTGACCGCACAGCGGAGGAGAGTGACCGCCTGCGGAAGCTCATGCTGGAGTGGCAGTTCCAGAAGAGACTGCAGGAGTCCAAGCAGAAGGATGAGGATGATGAGGAGGAGGAAGACGATGACGTCGACACCATGCTGATCATGCAGCGCCTGGAGGCTGAGCGGAGAGCCAGGGTAAAGGGGAAAGGCCTTGGTTGTGCGTATATGTGCTCCCTATGCTGTTTTCTGGCTTTTGCTGTGGAGACGGCCAATCTCATAATTATAAGGAAGGGTTCAGAAGCCTCTGGTCTCATGCTTACTTACCCTTGGCTGGTAAGCTGCAGAAGTGAGCCAGGCCCTCAGGGCTGGAAGGTTTGGAGACAGACCATGCTTTGACAAGAATTCAGTACAATTCAAGCAGGGCTTTGTTGTTTTAATTAGCTTCCAAGTTATCTTCACTGCAGTTGAGAAAACAAGTACTTGGTAATGAGCACTCACAGTCTTGATCAGGGCTTGGCAGAGTGTCTCTTAACAGGGCCAAATAAGGCTTGGTAGGCTGCATAGACTGTAGTAGCTCCTTGGCTCTGCTGCTGAGGTGCAAAAGCAGCAGGAACTGTCACACAGACGCTGAGCAAGGCTGTGTGCCAAGGAGACCTCGCAGAGATGTAGTAGGGACTTGTGACCCTGGTCCTGATGGTGAGCAGAGAAACCTTCAGAAGTAGGAGCCAGGTAGTGATTTTACTGTTGATGCACCAAGTCTTTATTAAATCAGTAATAATCAGTAATCATAAAGATGCTAACTTTATGTCTCTCCATATTATAAAAATGATTTTGTCCTTTTTTGTTTCAAATTAACTTAATGCAACAAGTTATTAAACTACCAAATTTTAGATGAAAGGCAGTGTCTTCACTCTCTTTACCTGGCGTACTTGTTAACAGAGACATTATTGCTGTTAACTGTGGAGAGTGCTGCTGCCTGCCATGCTAATTAGGCCAGGGATGCATTTTATTACACAGTCAGTACCAAGAGCTTTTCTTTTTTTTTTGGTCTTTGGATTTTGTTTCTACTGTCAAATGTTTTTGTAATGCTGTGCATGAAAGGCTTAAACCAGTCTCCATTAGGTCAGACCTGTTAATCCTGTGGCATGATGGCATTTAATCTTATATAATTAAATCTCAGAGCCCAGGAGTGGGACCCCCTCCCTTTCCAGTTGCTCTGTGACTTTTTCCTGAAGACTCACCTCACACACACTTGTTAGTATACAAGCCTCAGCCAGAGGTCCTATGAGTTTCCCACATTTCAGGTTGAATGCCTTTTAGAACCCTCCTTTCTTAAATGAGACTAGAATATAATTTGTAATTATTTTTAACTATTACATTGTTTTATTAGTATTTTTCTAGTAACCTTTGTAAACTTCCTTAAAAATGGCTATGTTTACATCGGCTTCCACCACAAAGATAGGTTGAGTAGTTTTAATTGTGTTGATGGTCAGAGCTGACAGGCACTTAGTTATAACCACTGTTGCCTAGATGGGCCAGCACTGGTGTGTTCTGCTCTGCCCTGGCCAGCCACTGATAGATACAGTGAGATGGACTCATTCCACCACTGAACACATTTGTGCCTTGTATTGCCCTTGCCCCTGAGACTCATGAAGGCGTGACTTCCCCATCTTGCTACACTTCAATTCCTACTCTGTTATTTATGACCAATGATCACACAGTGTCAACATGGCTTACTGCCACAGCCAATTCCAACAATAGTCAAAAGTTCGGGTACGTATTGTGACATCTCTGTAATCTTTTTTGTGAGGATGAAATTTTTATCAAAAGTTGAAGAGTTTTTTGAAATGGCTGCCACTGAATATTTCAAAGCCTCTTTAGTATGGATTATTTGGACATTTTTTGATGCTAACTTAGTAAAAAAGTAATTACATTTTAAGTCATATTTAGTTTAATAGCTTAGTCTCCAAATAAGAACACTAAGGGAAAGTTGACCTTTTTTACTATTTATGTCTCTTAATAATGAAACTCAAAAATTTTAATACCATGTGGACGTTTTCCTGTTTCTGAATGCTAGCCATTGCCTGTGGTTCTCTGGTTTTCTCATCAAGTCGTCCAAAATCAGTTCAGGCATGACAGCAACAAAGCACGCAGCACAGGGCAGGGCTAACCTGACTTTCCACAGCTCACCTCTCTCTTTTTCCTTCTCTGTTACCTGCAGCAGACTGCTGTGCCAGCAATCTCTGTTCTAGATTTGGTATGTTCTTGTTTCTCTCTTCGGTCCTTTTTTCTGTCTCAGTTTTCTTTTCCCCTTTGGTGGTGGCTGTTATATGTTCTCAGTAGTCGGTTCTCCGCAGAGTCTCCCGGGTCAGGAGACCGGCTCTGTGACTACCTAGAAGCATGCCTCTGAATGTTACTAGATGTTACTCCCTACTTTCCTCCTTAATCCTAAATGTTACTGTTTGTTTATGGTTTTGACTTTCATAGTTTTAGTCATAATTTGATCGTGTTCTCTTAGCTAGTCTCAGATACTTGAGCAAATGAAATAAATTTTGCATTCAGTCATCTATTTCATTCCTGTTGCAGTGGAGATAGATTTTAAATATATTCAGTTGTTATGAACTCATTGAAATGGCATTGACCAGCTTCCAGTTTTAAAATGGAGTTAAGAAGTCACTGTCTATTGTAGAGTAAGAGACTTCCAGTGAACCTGCATTTGGTTTTCCTTAATATCACGTGGATTTTAGTTCAGTCATCAGATATATCAATTTACAGTCTGCCAAAAAATGCTTGCAGTCACATTCTGTTGTTAAATCAATGTGTTTAATGTCACTACCAGAGAAATTGGGTCGGTCTTTTAGTATTCTTTATGTTTAAGTAATGTATCAATGTTACCTGATACATAGGTATTTATAGTAACTCTAAATCAGAATCTATTCTGGGTCAGGCGGTCCTTTTAAAAGCCCTGGAAACAGTTTCACTTCAGTCACTTTCTCACCGAGCAGTGCTTCCTTGTTTCCCGCTCACTTAGCCTGGGCGGTGTTCCTCAGAGAGAGCCTTTTAATGAGTGTCTCCCCTCCTTGGTGGTCAAAAGGGATGTTTTCCTACCTCCATAGTTTTGTTATTTTACAGAAGACAAATATAAAAATCTACATCTCCCCTTTATTTTGTTATTAAAGTGCTTATAGGTCAAGTACAATTTTTTGTTGTTGCTATTTGTTTTGAGAAAGAATGTGTAGCCCACACTGGCCCCAGACTCATGATTCCCTTTCTTAAGAGTGCAGGGATCACAGGATTGTACCACAAACCCAGCTTAAAGTCATTCGTGATGTTAGTCGCTTGACAAGCATTGGTCTGCATCTCTTGCATGTCCATAGCAGACACTGACCAGAGATACTATCTCAGATACTCGTCAACCCTTGGCCCAAGAGAGCTTTCTATGCTGTGAAGTTGTATGGGATGGATAATAATGACTGCACTAAAATTTTTATTTCAAAGCAAGAGTTCGGAGTTTTTCTTATTTTAAAAGGATGAGAATTTTGATTAGTATTGGTCTTAACCGTCCCATGTTTCTTAGCCCAGTTCCCCCAGTAAGTAATATTATTAATAAAAGTGTCATTACTCATAGAATTCTTATTATGCCAGAATTAGTCAGTTGCCCTGGGAACCTCCTCTGAAGAAATGGTGGGTAGTGGCAAGCATGTGGTCTTTGGGTAGCAGGACTGTTTTGCAGCCTGAAGACAAGTTCTGATCATGTTGTAGGATGAATGTAGGGGTGACTCATAGGATAGATGAAGCAGGTCTTATCTTTCTGGGAGCAGCTGAGTTCCATAAGGTTGCTGGGCTGCCTAAACAAGTTTCCACACTCCCACTGGCCTCCCAGCAGCCCACCGCTATGGTCCTCCAGGGCCTCCTGCTGCTTCTCTCTTCCTACCCGTTCCAGGTTTGGAACTTTTGGACCGTGATGCCAGTGACCTTTCACCCACGCCTCTGGTCTAGCCCTCTTGCACCATGACAATGTGGTTACCCACTTGCCCCATAGAGGCAGGTGCAGCTTTTCAAGTCCAGCCTGTGCAAAACTAACTCCGTCCTTCATGCTCTTTGCACTGCGGCCTCCTCGGCCTCCAGCTGCCCAAGCCAGGGCACTTCGAGTTGCTCAGTTGAGAAGCCTTGCAGTCTTCATGACCACCTTTCTCCTTGTTCAGAAACTCCTACCCCTGACCCCTGCCTGCCCTGACCTGTTTCACCGCCCTTCCTGCTGGTTACGTAGGAGTACATTGCTGGCCTCCAGCTCTCCCCTAGTCTGTTCTCAGGGCGTTTTTGTTCCAGCACCACCAGTCCCAGGAAGCTCCAGTGACCCTTCCTCTACCCTCCATATTCTTCTATCTTCCCTACCCCCTGGTATCCCTCAGGTCATCCCCAAGGGTCATGCCTTCCCTAGGACTGCTGTATCTGATTCCCTCAAACTGCAGGTTGTACCCAAATGCCACTCTGAGGTTGCCCTCTGCATGCCACTGACCTGTGTGCCTCCTCCCTTAGCTCCTGATTAATTTGCTGAGCACTCACTGTCCTCATGCCTCCCATAAGCCTGCTCATCACCTTGTATATTTGCTTCTTTGGGGTAGCATGCACCTCCAAGGAAGCTTAGTCCAAAGCTCTGGAGTTGTGGTATGTGCGTAGTAGTCACTAATGCTGAGAAACTGGAAAGTGGTCCTGGACCAAATCTCCAAGCTCCTGAAGGTGTGTAACCTTCCTGACTTGAAATAAGATAATTGTGAGCTCTGACATTCCCCTGATTTTAATTGGTAACATGGTATATGAGTGTGTTGGAGAACCCCGCATGGTACTAAGTGACAGTGAGCCACTCTATATCCCACCTTTCCCTCAGTCTCCATGGTCATCTCTGTCCCCAGGAGACCTAGGTATATCTGTACCCTGTTGCCCTGTGGCCGTCTACCTCTGGATCCTTTCTAACTGGTAGCCTTCTGATTAGGGGTCCAGGCCTGCCAGCTGAGGTCTGAAAGTCCTTGCAGCTAGTGACAGCTGTATAATGTTGATCTTTATATTAGCATTTGTTCATAACAACCCTGCTGTGACTGAGTAAAAGTCCAAACCCAGTGTGTGTCTCACCCTCTGTCAACAGACCAGGTGTGAACTGGCATCCTAGCCAGCATTTTCCTGTCACGTTACATGCATTTTCTGCCAGACACAAACACTTCCTTTTCATTAAGTGAACATTCTGGACCATCTTACAGCTGGATAGTCACTGGGCCTGTCCATCCTTCGGTGGATGGGCACAAACCTCTGAGCTTCCCATGTGTGGAAGGGGCTAAATCAAAAGCCATCCAATACTTCAAGCCTATTAGAGAACTGACTTTCAGAGAAACCATTAATGGGAAATACCCTGTGTGTTTGAGATTGTAGCAGCCCACGAAAGATACTGGCCCTGCTTAGGGCAGACAGTGCCTTTGCAAGGAGGGCAGAATTGTTGAGGGAATTAGGAAGAGGATGTTTGTTCCAAAAGTTGTAGACGGACACTGTGAAATCGGAGAGAACACCCCTGTGTGTAGGGTTCATTGCCTGAAGGTAGACTCAGATGCATTCTGGATCTCTGAGTCCTTCTCTTCTGCCCTGCTTGGGGGTGGGGATTGGGGGTGCACTGTCTTTTGTCTCTGGTTACTAGGGTATTTCAGCAGCTGAGGTTTAGAGCTTAGCCTGTCTCATGTTTCTTCAAACAGCTCTACCCTGAGAAGGGAGTGCAAGTACCATTGTAGGTGGACCTTGCTTTAGTTAACGTCCACTGCCGCTGTGAGAGGACATCACTTCCTAATGACCTCTGACTAGATAAGAGCACTTTGTCTTGGACACAAATGGCTGCTGGTCCTTAGCAGATCTAGGATCTGAATCCAGGTCTTTGAGCACCAGAGGACTACAAGGCTTGTGTTCAGTCACAGATAAAGGCATCTTTATCATTATTAATCCAGTTCCTGAAAGGTTTTCTTCGTATTTTTGTCTTGAAATTGGGGGTTACATTTTAGGAAAGAAAGTTGGTTTTTTTTTTTTTGGGCCTTTTGAAACGGGGTCTCCCTGTTTCCCAGCTAGCCTGGAATTCACCATGTAGACCAGGCTGGCCTTGAACTCACAGAGATCAACCTGCCTCTGCCTCCAAGTACGTGCACCAGCATGCCTGGCCTAAGAAAGTTTTTCTTAGACTCTAGGGGAAAGGGGATTTTAAGGGCTCTGACAGACTTCTTCAGGTAGTGTGTTTATTAAAAATGTCAAGAAGTAAAGGATCTTGTGATCCTGACATAATATTGAAATATTTAAACATGACTGCTAGTCTGTAATAAGATGTAAGTTTGTATGTTTTATGAAGTTATAAACACACAAATCTCAACCTGCATATTTTTTTTAACCTGAAATTACCTTTTGAGAAATGCTGACCTGGTGTAGAACCTTGGTTTCAACTTTATGGTGGCTTTGAAATTCCAGGAGAGCATGGGATTTAGAACAGTCTTAATGCAGACTGTCTTGACTTATACCAGAGCTGCCCTGATGCTCAATGCCACTGTCACAGGCACATTGTCACTGTAAAGTATGTGATCAGCACTTAGACTGATGTTGAAGATAGCCTTTAACTGATACTGAGCGTAAGCCTTATAGTGCAGTGTCTAGTTAGCAGCTCTTTGGAGGAAATTACGAGATTCTCCTACCCCTAATGCTTATGGAGGGGGAATGGGTGAGGGGGGTAGGGCAAAATATTTTAAAAGAACAAAGCATTTTAAGTAAAAATATGTGAGTTAAATAATGGAAAGAAATGTCTTAACTACAGTAGCACTAGTTAATTTGCCTTATTTAAAAATAGTAACTTATGGCCGGGCACGGTGACGCACGTCTCTGATCCCAGTACTCGGGAGGCAGAGGCAGGCAGATCTCTGTGAGTTCAAGGCCAGCCTGGTCTACATAATGAGTTCCAGGCCAGCTGGGGCTACAGGGAGACCCTGTTTCA